CTAGACGTTCGAGACAGTTAGCGATTTCTTTTCAGTTAGCGTTCTCTGTTTTTTTTGAAAGGTTTTAGAAACGGTGTTTCTTGAATTACTTTGGACACTTCGGACTTTTTTAAATTCTTCCAGCAATGTATTCGCCTCCACTTGGTGGAAGTCATTGTTATAACAATAACCATGAGAAGATTGGGAATGTATTAAATCAATTTGCTGGCTATAATTATGATGAGCTAAAGCTGATAATCACTGACAGATTTCCACTTTTTCTCAGAAAGCAAACTTCCGTTTGGCATAAAAATATATTACTGTATTACGTCAAATTTAAGCCACAGTAGGAATGTACAACTGGAAAGAATAATAAAAAATATGCTCCCCTAAATTTAAGCCCGATTTTATTTATTATTATTTTTATTTATTATTATTTTCCAAATTGAAAAATAATAATAAATAAAAATAGTTTTAAAATAGATACTGAGAAATAAGAATTTTTTGGACATTTTCATTTTTGCATCATATTCTTCAGTGCTGTTGAAATCATTAGTAATGCATCTTTTTAAAGAAATTAGTTTTGAAAATCCTTTCAATAACATAGAGAGAGTAAGATATCGGCAGAAATAAGATGTCAAAATTTTCACTTTGAGTTCGAGTTGCAGCCTAATTTTATGTTCATTTTATTATTTTATGATTACTTTCATTTCTTAATAATGTGTTCTTAATAATAAATTTTAATTTATTTAAATCTTTATCTGCAAGATTCTATTGCAAATGCATGCATGCTATGTTTGTTACAACGAAAATAAGCAATTTGAATTAATATGGTAATTTAAATGATATATTTTGACGGAAGATAGCTACAACACCATTAAGGTTTGTTTTACATAAGAAAGACAACAAACCACTTCATAGTTTTGACAGCCCCCCCCAAAAAAAAAGTAAAAAAAAAATGAATAGGCATTTTTATACTTTGAGATTTTAGCTGATAGATTCAGATAATAAATTTTCAGTTTCGATTGTTTAATTGAATGAATTAAGGCAAAAGAAGCAAGAGTTACTGTCAAAGAAAATACTAACAAAGGGAATACTGTTAAAAAAGAGATACTTTCTTGCAGGGCTTTATATAGGGTACTGCATCGTATTTATTTCATACACGAGAAAAAATTAAAACAGTTTACAGAGCCTTTTCACTAGTAATAGAGGCCAGGATGGATTATCCATGTTCAGCGAATAGAGCTATTCAGTCTCCATGACTAAATGATAAAGTGAATTTTAAAATTTTAAAAATCATGAAACGTGTGCAAAGAAGCCAACAAAATGTAAATTGATATCAAAATTTATGTTTTGGTTAGCATTTTCAGTCACTTATTTTCCGAAAATTTGGTAGTCCACATTTATCCCTGCTGTGAAACTACGAATAGACATTTTAATTAATTTGTTCGCATGGTGGTGTAGAATATAGCAACTAATTATAGCATACGATTTGTCTGCTGATAAATACCAAATTCTGCATTTACATGGACTGTTTTTGTGACCATTTTAATTTAACACATTTCTGGTCTAACAAAAGTCTTTCCCATAAATTTTTAGGAAATATTCTTGTCAAGGAAAACTGAAAGAACTTAAATTTGTTGTAAAGAAGCTTCTTATAATTATTTTCTCTAAACTAATTTAAATTTTGAAAAATGCTCTAAATAAATACACTCATGTCCATAAATTAAGGATAATGCAAAATCAGGCTAAGGAAGAGTTAGAAGCAAAACAAATTTGACTTATTTGTAAAGCTTATTTATTAAACAAAAGGTAAAGAGCAAAAAAAGATACTATATGTTTGATATTATTAAAAAAATTAACGATTTTTCCTCCCTGGAAAAAATTACAAAAAAAAAAAAAATATTACATAGTTGGTATAATGGTTAATACATTGTATCTCTCCCAGACGATGCAATACAGTCCGTACAACGCCTAGGCATGCTGAGTATCAAATTATCGATCTGATCTTGGGGGATATTACACCACTCATAAAGCAATGCTCTCCGAACTTCCGGTAGACATGTAGGAGGAGGTTGACGGGCTGCAACTCGTCGGCCAAGCATGTCCCACACGTGCTCTACTGGATTCAAGTCCTGTGAGAATGCTGGCCAGTCCATACGGGTGATATCCTCCGATTGAAGGCATTCGCTTACGATGTTTGCACGGTGAGGAGACGAGCGTTGTCATCCATAAACACAAATTGTGCGCCCATGGCGCCCCGAAACAAACGTACATGTTGTTCCAGAATGACGTCCCGATAAATTTGGTTTCTCATGGTTCCAATTTGAACATGCAAGTCAGTTCTGGAACACAAAATAATTCCACCCCTAACGAGCACTCCTGCACCACCATAACGGTGTCATTCAATTATGTTTTCTTGGTGGTAACGGGTACCTGGAGCTCTCCATATGAAAGTCCGGCGAGAATCAGACTGCAAGCTAAACGTGGACTCATCGGAAAACATCACACAAGCCCACTGTTGCGGTGTCCACAATGCATGCTTTCTACTCCAGGCTAACCGCAGGCGACAGTGAGTTGCAGTAAGTGGAACGCATCTGACAGGTCTACGAGCATATAGACCAATCTGCCCTAAGCGTCTGTACACGGTCTGCCTTAAAATTGTCGTACCAGTGGCTGAAGAGAGCTGACGAGCTGAGGCTGTGTTCCGCCTGTTTCTTTTGGCAGTAACTACCAAATACCGGTCCTCATTCGGAGTTGTAACTCTGAGGCGACCTGTGCTGTAACGTCTACTCACATTACCATCATCTTGGAATCGTTGCCAAAGCCTGGAGATGACACTCTAGGCAATTCCAAGTTCGTCTGATACTTCCAGTTGGGTACGCCCACATTCCAGACGGCCGATAATTCTACCAGGTAAAAAATCATCCAAATGCGTCCTTTGTGTCATAACTATTCGGTTATTGCACTGAAATGATTATAAAGTGCCTGCGAACAATTTTACTTCTTTGCCTGTATTCCTTATATATCACTCTCTTACGTTCTCGTCATTGTGACGCACCATCGGTGTCATCTGGTTACTTCCTGAAATTTGCATATGATTCTTGAAAATATGTGTAGTGATTTTACAGGCGATATATTTATTTTAGAGTTCGATTTCCGCGTGACTCCGAATTATCTTTAATTTATGGACATGAGTGTAGTATGCACATTGAAACCCCAATTTAAGAGCCACTCGAATATAACTGTATAATAAAACAGAAACCATACGATATAATTACTTTGGAATAATTGCTGTAATAAATATGCGATGCAATTATTTGCACTTCTTTTGTTTTTCAAAATCTGACTGTTTGTTGAGGAGGATTTAAAAGGCGAATATAAGTGAATAACGAAACAGAAGTGTAATAATAATAATAATAATAATTAGTTATCGGCTCTGTACATTAGTTGGGCCCTGTTACCTTGTGTTCAAAAATGTTAATATGTTTTCATTGCATTGTGTAAGCAATATACGTTTTATTGATATTTAATTTAATTTAATATGTTTTAATGCAATATGAGCATAATGTAGGCAATTGGTACAGTTAGGGACTTAATTAAAATTTTGATCTGAATTATTTGGAACTAACGTAACCTTTATATTGATTTTCTACTCAAGCTAATTTGCTGCTTTTTCGTAAATTCTAGCCTATATTTCTACTGCCCCTAACTGTTTGCCCTCATCAATATAGTGGTTAGCTTTGTCGGTTGCTATATCGCTAGAGCGGTTTCAATCCCGGAGATATGTAAGCGTGTTGTATCTTTGCTGCATTGTAACACTTGAAATACCCCGATCCGAAAGTTCTCTCGCGTGTTTTGGTGGCAGGGAAAATGGTTGAAAAGCCCTTGAGTCTGTCCCCAAGGGAATTCTCTTTCATAACTGGAACAAAGTTAGGCAAAATCATACTGTCATCCATAATGTGCTCAAAGCCCATTCCAGCCAACAGACGAAATCCTGCCCTTGAAAAATTCTTTGACTTATTCTAATGTTACGGTCAAACAAGCGAGATAATTCCACTATAACCCAACCTTTCCCTCACTACTATGTAAAAATAGAAATATGTGAGTATGTAAGAGCATTCATTTACTTAACATTATGTTATAATTTGTCACAATTTATACACGAGTTCCCAATTTTTAAATTGTATAAAGTGTAGTGAGTCCTCTGTAAGACGAACATCTACAGTTTCAAATGATGTTGGTCTTCTGTGTATGTGGTTGCTTTAGAAGGTAATTTTTGTCTGGTAGTGGTGGTGATTATTTATATTCTTAGAAAGCTGGTTACTTTCAGAAGCAGTCATCTTAAGGTCGCAGCAATAGAATTTACAGCATTGGACAGAAATAACTTTTTAGGATAGTTTTTATCGTGTATATAACGTTTCACTACTGAATTAGTAAACTATTAAAATTAATTGTATTCTAAAATGACTTCTAAATGTAATTTCTTTAAAGGGAAAAGTGACTGAAAATTTATTGATTTTTCTTGGGAAATTATCTTGTACGAAGGACTCTGGAAAAGATTAGGGCAAATTAGAGTATTATTTATATGAAAATAATTTCCTATCTTACAAATTTATGAAAGGAATTAATCTGTTATAAACGCAGATCAGTGTAATGGCTTCTTATATTTAAATTACTTACAACATAAATTATGTCATAATATACCTACACATATAGCATAGCAATTTTTGGAGAAACTGGGTCTCAGAATCTTGCTCTAGTCTGTACATTATACGCTGCATTTCACAGTATACATGTATACAACCCAATTAACTTTAACACGGCAAACAACGCGCTGCATCAGACACACTAGCTAGCTATTATTGGTTTTTCAATGGTTTGAGGCGCAGCGTTTAAAATTTTCAGTGCCGTTGCTATGACAACAGCAGCTTTATCAAAGCCAAAAATGCGCCACTTCTGTTTCTGCTAAAGTACTCTTCTGAAATTCTACAGTAAGAGCAAACGTAAGCACATTTTTATTTTAAGGGAAAAAATAATATGTATATATACAGAACTTCATATATCTTATCTGCCTATCTATGCACTCAAGAGAGCAAAAAAGAACTTACGTTAAAAAAATCTCATTTGCATAAATTTGTTATGAACAGGAGCGATGGTATGTAGCACAATATTTCTTCGACATTCTTTATTGCAGACGAAATAAATCTAATTTTCAAGAATGTGATTATCTATATGACTTTTTAAGTAATTATGAATCTTAGCGTTATTAATAGCACTATGATTAAACATAGAACAGTTTAAGTATAATATGTCTATTTAAAGCAATAAAAATTTAAAAACGTAATATTTTAAAAATTTTCAGTTTTTTGAAACCAGGAAATTTCGAATCTAATTTATTTCTAAATCTAAAGGTTTTCTAGAACGAAGGTTGGCTTATTGCATATTATTTTTCTATGCATATTATTAAATATTTTGTTGTCTTGTAAATTTTTCCATTGTTGTCTATATACTCAAATACTCATCTATATTTCACAGCATGCTATTAATATTTTAAATAAATAAACCTTAAAAAAATTCCACCATTTATTATATACACAAGTTCGTACATATACCTAAATGCTTAAAACGTCGTTAAATCAATTACAGAGGGAAAAGAGAAAACAATCAAAATCGCTTTACATGATGTTTTTATGTAAACTACGCATTTATCAAATCATTATTTCTTGCAGAATTATTTATATTATTTTAGTTTTGCAGTGTTTGGTTCTACCTACTGATTTTTTTAAAGACTTAATGAAATCCTTTTCCTATCTATATAAACTGAGTGATTTTAATGCCTCAACACAATCAGAGCAGGTGTGCCCTTGAAAGCTTAGCTATTATGGAGAGAAATGTCCATAATATAAGTGAACCCTCTCGTGATGATCACATTCTTAACAAGACTGTCTCTAAAAGCGTCCAGTACTTTTGAGAATGTAAATAAATTCGGCTTACGAAAGCTTCTGCAGAAACTTGTAGTGTGAATTTCGAAAATTAATAGTTTACTTAAAAATCGCTTTTTCTTTTATTAATAAAAATGATTAAGTGAATAAATTAACCATTACGATACTATTCGGTGTTGATAATATAGGTTATACCGTAACAGAATTTTTTTCAAATATTTTTAAATAAAATAACAGGACACGGAATTCAGTTTTATTTACATTCTCAAAAATACTGAACGCTTTCAGAAATAGTGTTGTTAAGGATGTGAGCATCATGAGAGAGTTCACTTATATTATGTGCATTTCTCTCCATAATAGCTAAGCTTTCAAGGCTACACCTGCTCTGATTGCGTTGAAGCATTAAAATCACTCAGTTTACACCATCCATGTCAAACCCCGAGTAACACAGATAGTTTTAAATCAGATAGTAATAAATCTTTATACAGAATATCATCGGACGTTCGTTAATACGTTCTGTATTCAGAGTAACAAGGAGCAAGCTAGGACACGTTCTGCTGAGTAGGAGAGAAATGTGTGAAGGGCCAATAAGGTATTTCTCCCGCCTTCCTAGAGTGCCTTCCTGGTGAAGTATTTCTGTATGGTGGCCCTGGTATTTCAGAAGTCCGTGGTACGATTGCTCAATTTTCATCTTGCTTGCTTCCAAAAAATACCTAATGTCTCCACAAGCCAAGTCATATTACGTAGCAAAAGTGCTGAGGTTCCTCATGTAACTCACTGAAAACAGCAGCCTGTTAGAACTGGACAATAAGTTCAAAATCTATATTCAAAATCTAGGTTCAAAATCGATTCATAGAGCAGATCTCTATAAACGCTCAAGATGTTATCTTCCAATTAACTAATTAAAACATCATGTATTTAAAGATTTCTTCTTCTTGATAAAGTTTCTTGTGTTTGTTTTACATTGACGACGAAGTTCGCGCATCGAAAATATAGCTAAGGTAAAGTTTTTCAGAGCAGAATGCAATTAATTTAAATGCTGCAGCTTTGAAAATAAAAAGGATATGAAAGCTAAGCGAATGGCTCTGATTTTTCTAGATCTCATGAGAAATGTACTTATATGTGCCTTAACTAATTATATTATATACCGGATAGAATTTACTTGTGAATGAAACTACCCTATACTCCACGAATTAATTATAGCCAAGAAGAAGAGAGTGTTTGGTCCTTCGCCAAGGCTTTAAGTAGCTTACCACTGATAACATTTATTCATGAATAATGTTTAGACAGAGTAACAGTTACTAGTAACAATATAAAGTTTAACAATTTTTTCTTTTTTTTTTTTTTGAATTTCTACTAGTAAAAGAACATTTTTACTAGTACTTTAACAATACAAATTAGATCACTCAAGAGTCACTTATACAGATATTATTATTTCGTCAGCTTAATTGCAGCATTTGTTTTCTTCCAGCTCGGCTAAGAATTTATCAGGTATTGTGTGTATTTAATTATGGCAAAGCACACTAGGGCTATCTGCCTAAGGGGAGGGATGCCTTCGTGGAGGACTTTCTAAGGGAAACTGGCTCGTATACACGTTACACATGGGGAAAACCACGAAAACACCCATGCAGCCAGCCCGTTCGCGAGATTCGAACCTCGGACCGAACTACCAGTGTTCAGCGACTTTACCGCTCGGCCGCTGGTGGGCCGAATTTATCAGGTGTTTGTATGGAGTTACAAGTCTCATGTTGAAGACACTTTCTGTGTATTCTTTATAAATATGATGTATGATCAATCTCATGCAGTATTAGATGTATACTGATCAAAGAGACAATACGTCAGCCTCATAAATGTGATCACTACTTATGTTTTCTTTAAGAATAATGAGATTTTATATTTATACTATATATAATAAATATTTATGCTTACGTTTGGAAAAGGTTTAGTTTTCCAATTTTGATGAGGTTTATATTTATATTTCAATGCAAGATGTAGCTCTCAGTGAGCATCACGATTGAAAGAGTAAATAGAAACCAATCTTTGGAATTTCACCAAATTTGGAATTTTTAAAAATGTAAAACTATAAATGAGTAAACTCTGTAAGTGTTACATAATTGTTAAGCGTATTCTATTAACGGATATATTTTTATATTTTAAAATTAATTTCTTTGATTCTGCAGGTAAAACATTTTCTTACACTTTATTACGTAATTAAGATCCAGGTTATCCAGTTTACCTAATATTCAAATTATTTTTTTTTATTTGTATTTAATTTCTAATTATTGAAATTACAATTTTTAAATTGAAAATAATTAGCATTTATGCTGTTTGAAGTATGTGAATAACTAAACATAGAAAGGAATAAATATAAATTGAGTTTAAATACAAGCGGAGTTTAATTGCCTTTATCAGAAGATATTTTTGAATTTATATTACAGTGTCTTGCCTGGGATAATGAATGTGCCTAAATTGTTAAATTCATATCTATATTTAGCAAACTATTTTCATTATTGAAAGAAACAAGAAGTGAAAGGTTTAGAAAGCGTATCAAATTAAAATTTAATGTTTTAGTTTCAATGTGGTTTCATTTTAAGAGAAAAATTGCTGTTAAAATTTGCTGAGATTGCATGGTAGATTTCAAACGGCAAATAAGCAGATATTTGCTGCTTCATTCTTGTATGTCGGAAGAGAAAAATTTGAACAAAATATAGAAATGGTTTTCTTATTTCAGTATTATATTGTTTACGTTTTAAAGCAAATTCCTTGGGAAGAATAATATTTTTTAGATTTTGCAAGAGAAGGAAAACAATAGTTATTATTTCTACTCCGTGAAAGGGAGCGTACTGCTCTGTTGAAAATGTTCGTGGTAAAGTCATGTGACACGCTTGCAACACTTCCATTTAGCTGCTAGATAGAGTTAGCTGACTTAATACAGAAACAATGCATGAAGTGATAGTATCCGGGACAGCGTAGTTCGTGCTGCATTACACATAAAGACCTTTAGACTCTCCTCTGCAATACTGCATTTTGAGCAAAGAAACTTGCCTTTCTGTGATAGTAAACAGATCCCTGCTAAGCCATAAGACATTTACTTTCTACATTTGAATCCTTTGACCTTGCGGTTCTGTCTCAGCAAGACAACTGGCGACCAGCAGTTACAGGCAATTAATTCAAATTATCGAAAACGACGCAACGCTCAATTTACGACAGATCCCAAAAGCGTTTTTTTCCCAATGCTTTCAGGGATTTTAGAAGTGCTGGAGCAAGGGAAAGTATTCTGAAGAATATTATTTCAAAACTGATTGGATAATAATTTTAACATTTGAAACGCAACTGTCCTTTTAGTATTTTAGGATATCGTTTTAGACATAGGTATATTTTATTTGTTCGTAACACAAAAATTTCGCTTAATTTAAAATTGGTAAGCTAAATAATTATAAAACTTTCTTTCTGATCCTTCAATTTCCAAATCAATATTCACAAATAACATTCTTGCAGTTTAGAATATTTAAATAAAAAAAATCAGCTTCATTCTTTTTGCACAGATGCATTTTTCTTACAAAAGTATATTTAAGAAGGAATGCTAAAGATTATCAAATTTCTGAACTTTACTAAAAGTAATAGTAGAAAATCATGAAAATATTTTGCTTCCTGTTTACAATAAAATAATATACATTATTGATGGCTAACTTTAATACTTTATTAATAATATTTTATAGAAAAAGAAACTTATAGACCAGGGTTACTGAATTTCTTCGAACTTGCTATTGAGATCAATATTTTACATAAAACATTAATTATTAGTTATCTATTGAATTTCTGAAATTCAACACATTCGACGCCAGTTGGCTAATCAATGATGTTGAACCGATATGAAGAATTAAAAGCATTGAATCTTTTTAATAATAAAATTGTGCTTCATGCTGTTGTAATATGATGCGCGTGTTGATATATAAAATAATGACAGCCTCCATCAACCACAAGTCACGACAACCACCACAAAAATTAATTTCAAAATCGGGTTTCGCCGATTCATCACCTTAGAACCACGATTCTCCACCACAAACTGCCACCCACAGTCGACCACTAATTGTTTTGCAATCGACTTATTGACATCAACGATTTCAGTAAGTGTATATTACTGTCAAATTTAATTATTAGCGACGGTTTCTGAGTTTTGATGGAAATTATATGCATAGATGGGAGTATTAGAGAGAAATGTAGTAATCCAAGACATTACTAGAAATGCGCTTGATTATTTATATTTATGGCATATATTAAAAAATTTGTTACAATAGAAAAAAATAAAACATCAGTGATAAGCCTATATTGTTTTTGAAATGATTATTATTTTTATATTGCTAAGCAATATACGGATATTGTCATAATTTGGAAAAACATTTTGATAAATTCTAGGCTGAGGTGTCAGCAGCATCAATATTGCCAGCATATTATTTTTTTCTCAAGATTAGTCAATAACATATATTCCATGAGTTAACGAGCCTAATAGTTTTTCAACTAATTAATGTAGAAGCTAGTTGATGTATTTACTTACTTAAGGTTATATATCATGATAACATTTCTGTTGCACTGTTAAAGCTACCTAGTATCAAGTAGCCCCGACATTAGTCCCTTGTTTATCACCATTACTGTTTTTGACACTTAATGCGGTAAAATTAGCATTGTTGAAAACATAAAATGTGCTCTAACATTGAAAGACACAATCGTTAACAAGAAACGAATGGCCACTATTTCAGAGACAGAGAAATTGTTGTCTCACTGGATCCAGAAACAGATACTGTTTAGTCTTCTGATTATCCAGGAGAGGAGTAAAAGGTTTACAAAAGGCATAAAAAAACTGAGCGTTTCGAGAATATTAGCAGCCGTATCATTCCGCTATGTCTAACTACAAACCATCTATAACTAAAAACTATATATGCCTACAAAATCTACTCTTTACGTATTTGTGAGAATATCGCTTACGACTCCAACATCAATAGGTGTAGAAGCTGTCAAGGAATATCATTTCTCTTGACATCCATTTTTACTCAGCGTCAGCTCTGTAACTACAGAACCCAATTAGATGTCGCAGGACTTAATCTGTTTGAAAAGGATTATTGCAATTAGTGCTGCATAATTTTTCATTTATAAATTATGTGTATATTCTCTTGCATTTATGGAAAATTACTACATTTTCTTGTGAAATTACATTAAAATAATTTATAAATTTGATTGACAACATTCGAGCTATGCAAGGGTTTACGGAACACGTTACTTACGTCACTCAATATGTCACTGCAAGACTCTTTAATTTTTTAACTCAAAAATTAAATTTTGGTTAATAAATAAATTTTTATTTACTGAAAATAAAAAATCAGAAATTTAATACTATTTTTTTTTTCAAAAATCAAAAATGTAAGACTATATTCTTTCTTGATGCATTTCAAAATAGATAATTTAACAAAATTGTGAATTATTGATTTATTTCTAGTTAAAATGAAATACGCTACGTGTAAATGAGTTTTTTAATTTATTTTCTCCACAAAAATGCATTAAAGCATATTTATAATACCTTTTTTAACACTGCTTTCTTTCGTCTTTGCTGTAAGTGTTAATTAATTTGATTAAATCGATTTTAAGCTAGTACTCGTTGATTATTATATTTATTGCATTAGCATTCTTTAGAATGTAGATCAATTTAATTACATGTGATTATTATCATAATCCTTTACTTTCACATTTAAGGAGAAGGAATTATTTTCTAATTTTATATTTTATTATATATAGTATATATATTTGGAATTATATATACAATTTTAATAATATTAAACACAATAAATATTACAAAATAGCTAATTCATTTTTTCAGTTTAATAGATTCAGTTTTTTAGTCACACATTAAAAAATATTGCTAATAATATAACTTCTGATTTTAAACAGTGAAAACCCTGTAAGACGATCAGGACGTCTCCTTTTGGGCGTGTTTATCTTAGGAGGTTATGTTGAATACCTATGTTTATTTATTCTGCTCAGAAGTAGAGGTCCTTTTCAAAGGTGGGCATAAAGTTTTATTGCATTTTACCTTTATTATTTATTTATTAACCAGTTCATTATTTGTTTATTAATATGTTCATTATTTATTTATTAACCTTCATTATTTATTTACATTACTGAGAATTTTACCTGTTGATTATTTATTTACATTACTCAGCATGATTCTATTTGCGAACATCGCAAATTAACCATATTTTTTACTAACGAATTCATTAGCATTGCTCCTTCTAACATTAATTTGTGAAATGATATTGCGTAATTTTCAAGAAGTTGTATTGAATTTAAAATCTGATTATCTTTAATTTCTCTGGTTTCCACGATAAAAATTTTGTAATAAATCGCAAGCCTTCCAAACTATTTATTTGTAATAAATATCAAATAATATTTTTTTATGTTTCAGCAGAAACGATTTATTTTAAAAACTAGCTATGCTGAAATAATTGAATTAATAAGTTATTACGAAAATTTTGCAGAAAAATAACAGTAATTATATTAATAATTTTCATAAATGTTCTCATTTAAAAACGTGAAAAGTAAAGCTTCAGTTTCCTCCGCGCTGTCATTCTAATATTTCACAGCGTATTCGGGTTTAAATGGAAAATATCACATAATTTTCGATAGTATCATGTTCCACACCTGATTCCTCAATAAAGTATTTACCAGCAATATAATGTTCCATAGCCTGAATTTATAATAAAGTATTTAGTGGCAAATAAATTTAATACGCTACATATTCCAGAAAACAGAAAATTATGCATAAATGTAGATACGACAGATATGCCTCTCTCTTATCTCATTCGCGAATGAATGAACGTAGTGTTCATAATTAGGGCACCAGGGTAAGCCGATGAGAGCGAAAGAAAACATTAACTTCTCCGCAAAACGCGGCTATGTTTTCCAGATGGCGCTACATGCTGCCTCCTAGCTAACATCTGTGAGCCTGAGATATACCCTGTAATCGTAGATGGGGAGAAAATTTATTTTAAGGCCAAGATAATTTACGCGAAGGCTCTCCAATAAGCTTAATTTGCAAGGGTGGCAAAAGTTTCTATCTAATTGTTTATGAAATAGAAAGAGCATAATTTATACTGGTAACTTACGATGGGATTATTTTTTTTAAATACTATCTGGTGTTTCCTTGTAGAATAAAAGAAACTGAATGTATTTTTCAGCTTGAAACATCAGTACTTTTTACAAAAATGATTACGCTAATTAAGCAAAAAGACCCATGAATTAGTTTGAGGAAATTACATTTTTTGAATCTACATTTTCTGATAAAACTGTTTGGAAGTGAACGCTGTATAAGATGACCATCCTTGGTTTCAGGCGGTTTTTGTCTTTTGCGAAGATGATTACTGCTTTCTATAAATTTAACTAGATTTTTCAGTTACTACTAAATTATATTACTATAATTAATTATTATTAATTGGTAGGGACTACAAAATTATAAGAAGTTTGACTCCATACAACAAAAGTTGACCAGGATATTTAACTTCAGAATTTGCAATTTTTTATGTCATCGTCAACTTGCCTGGATTGAAGGAATAGTTAATGAAGTTATAACAGTTCGTGGAAATACATTTAGATGAAGTGCAACAAAAAGTGCATATAATTTAATAGACCGTACAAGGAAGTTATGTGATGCTCACATCCGAGCTGATTTTCAAAATCCCAAAGTAAAAATTTGATTTATAAATTTTGATTTATAAATTTGATTAAAAATTTGATTTATAAATTTTACTTTTTTATTTAATGCTTAAACGATTTTTCTTACATATCTTGGTTCAACGAACAAAGTAAAAATCTCTAAAATTTACTGTTTGAACCATAGGATAGAGCGAAAAAAATCTTTTAAATGAAATTTGTACATTTTTTTTTAAATAATGTAGTTAATTTATCTAAAAACATATTTAATTAATAATATAATCCAAAGATATATTTGCAGCATTATTTTAATTAATAAGAAATTTTCTAATGCCGTATGTTACATTATAAATACAACATCCCCCCACTTTATAATGTTTTACATTTTATATTTTTTAATAATTTTTAATATTTTTTTAGTTACTAATGATAAACTCGTGTTTGGTGCGTTAGATTATGATACGAAGTTTTCAATTTCCTTTTGCTCCTTTATTTGCTTGTTTCTCACCGTATGAAATTAGAAGTGCCTGTAACTGTATTTCTAATTTTTCAGTAAATTTTCAAGTAAACAAATGATATAAAACTCTTTATTCATTTTTTTTTCTAAGTAAATATAAGTACTTATATCATAAGGTATTCCTCCCCCTCTTTCCGCATGCTTTCGTAGTTATAACTGTAAACGCCCTCGACGCATATTCAGCTGCGAAATCCGGAGTTCGATTTCCGGTGAGGGCATTGAACATTTTTTACACCTTTAGCATCCAAAAACCCTAATGATTCTACAATATCGTGTATATGTTAAGACTTTAATAGTAAAGTAAAAAATGTCGTTCTTGTAGTAAATTCGTTCTTGTAGTCAACTAAAAAGATAAAAAAACAATCATATGTTGTGTAATAAATCATTTATAAGCATGGGTAGTAATTTTATCACTTTTCTTATTAAAATAACAAACATTCCTTGAAATGCGTGAAAAAAAAATTCGGCATTTTTACTTGATTTCAGAAACTTGTTTTCATAAAATTTTAATTATTTTTTTTTATTTTATTTTAAGTTTCTCTTGAAATTTTCCATATTAAGAAGATTTGCAAAAGTAAATTTACTAAGTGGTGATCACCTCTTTAAGACGACCACCTTTAAAAATGGCTATTATCTCTAAAAACACATATGAACATCGCTACTGAATGTGGTACATGCGTATTAATGCAACCAGCTTCACCCAATACAGCGTTTTTTTTTTACAGAAGGAAACGCAAAAGTTACTTATTAGGTACAAGCTGGTGATTTGGGTAAATCTGATATGAAGTTTCCAAAACATTTGAAATCCAAAATTTTTTCAAACCATCTCAAATCGTAAATTGGTAAGCATAATCGCCATATCGAAAGAAAACACACCAATTTTAATTATTAAATAAGAGCTATATGATACAAAAAAATTAAATAAATAAAATAATTCTTTAAGAAATAGTTCTGCCTTTTTACAATAAGAAAGCGTTTTACAATAAGAAAGAATTACAATAAGAAAGCGTTTTACAATAAGAAAGAATTACAATAAGAAAGCGTAAGAAAATAGGGCCATTGTCTGACTCAAAGATTGTTATGAGTATGGTTGCCTGAAGAATGTTTGCACGCAAAGGTTGCTAGAATTTGGAACATTATGATAATTTGCCAACTTCTACCGAGGTGACTGAGATAATACGCAAAAACTGAATAAACCCTTAAGTACTACCCTGTAACCTCTTTAAGACGATCACTTCTCAAAATGGTCAGCATCTCTGAAAACAAAATTATCATCGCAAGTGAATATGATATCCAATCATCTCTACAAATTCCAAACTAATCTGGAACTACCAGTAATCATCTTAGAGATAATTCATTGCGTTTCCTTGAATCAAAAGCTTTAAAAATATTTTTCAGTACGCTCCTTTAAGTATTTGAAACATTATTTTAAATTAAGATAAACTGAGAAGCACTAAAAATTGCTAAACAATAACTGAGTTTCATTGTTAAATGATTTATTATTCATGCTGCTCTTGTAATGTGTGGAATATGATACCCATCTAAATCATTTTAATACTAAAAGTCAGTTATGTTATTTTACGCAACATTTTCCCTTTAGACTTCTTCTCTAGTATTCGAGTCTTCAGGACTTTTTACGGGAGAAAACTAGTTCCCGTTTTATCTCCATCCGTAATGTTTTATTCCTTTAATTGCATGTCAACGAAGGCCGGTTGTTGATTAATCGTGAAAGGATTGATGAGTAGTAATAATTATTTTTAACAGGAAGATCCATCATAATTTTTGGAAGATTTTGCTTCATGATTTCAGCATTCTTTCCTCTTTTTCACATTTTCTCAATCTTTTTATAAGCATTTATATGTTTTGAATTAATGTGTATCTTAAAATTACATGAATAATAATTAATTAAAAAATAAATAATATAAAATATATTTATTATCTATGGCTACTGGTTAGTAATAAGTATTTAGAGTAATTAAATGTCATCAATAATTAAAAGTTAACCCAATGATTCTACTAAAATCCCATTTATATAATAATATTCTTTCATAGGTAATCTGAATTGTTTTTACAGCTATTTCTGATCAAGAGAACCAACCCAGCTTCCAGGTGATTTTGATCTTCTGTGGAAGTGGTCATCTTAGAGAAAGGATACTCAATACCAATATTTGTTTATTTTCCCTGAAATAGTGATCGCTTTCAGAGATGGTCGTCTACGAAAAAGGATCACCACCAGAGGATTTACTGTATTACAGTCCAGACTTGCGCTCATGTTTATTGATAGAGACATCAGTTCAGTTCCTTTCTACATCAGTTTGTTATAAATACTAGTAGCATATTTCCTTTAAAAGCTTTCTTTTATTTTTATATGGAATTTCATCTGTTTTTCCATTGTTTTCAGTTTGTTCTCAAAGTTGGAACTTCAAAGCCCAGAAGTATTTTTAAACATATATTTCACATTTCATTCTAACAAAATACGCGATATACAATTTTGTATTATAAAGACCAAATTGATTGCTCTTGCTTCTTACTGCATCAAATTAGCCTTAACTAAATTCTCATCACAGAAGTTAGTCTTACTTTAGAAATTTATAACTAAACATTTTACCAAATTTGTAATTTTAAACTGCAAAGTGTAAAATTCCACATTGTTTGTTCAATAGGAGAAAAAAGTCGTTTGTGTTTTACATTTTTTAAGTATCTAACTGCTTTACAGAATAATAAACATGTAAGCATTTTCAACTGGATTATAAAACTTACTCATAATTTGGCCGTTCATGAGAATTTTGGATTTTACTTACTTCATTTCAATATTGTTGCTAGTGAATTTTGTGCCTACAGCGATGTTGTGGAAGATATAGAACATATTTTACTACATTGTAAGTTGCATGGAGTCCAGAAGTGCATTTAAAGTGAGCTTAGGGCAGCTCTCTATTTCTCCTGAACGCAACCGTTCAGGAGAATTAGAAAGCTGCCCTAAACTCACTATTTGTAAGTTGCATGCCTCCTGTTTTCTATGATCTTGTTGGGAGCTCCGAAGCATTTGCAGTCTTGTGCGACTTTATTATTATTATTATTTTTTTTTTGTTCTTTGAGTTATTGTTACTATTATTTATATGATTGAATTTTTGTCTTTCATATGTAATTGTATTATTTTGTGTATTGTCTATGTTTGATTATGTTATGTATTGATGTACTGTATTGTTGATATATTTTTCCTTTGTATTAATATTAAGTATTATTTCATTTTTATTAATGCCGTATTATTATTAAGTTCATTTATTTTCTTTTATAGGACTATTAACATAGTTTAATTATTTATGGCATATTTTAGCATTTTTATTATAATAGAATTTGTATTTTCTGTTTTTTTTTTTTTTTTTTTTTTTTTTTTTTTTTGCATTCTTCAAACCTAGATATTGTGTTTTTGTTGTTGAATTGTATCTCCTTGTATTATGAGTTACTTACTTACATCTGTAATCCTCGTGGAATACTTCGTGGAACACGAGAATTTTGTATTTGTTTCTTAATTAAGAAAAAGTACTTGGATTTTTTTTCTATCGGTGCTACAGAGAAAAATTTTCTTGCTTAAATGGGAAGGGGGCGATATATCTGTAGATACCTAAAAGTGCGGTGGAACAGCTATACATTAACATATGTTATTTCCCATTCTTAGGAAGATACAGTTAACTATTTTTTCATATAAATTTCAAGGTTTTATAAGCTTTATAAGGTGTCATACAAACAGAGGAAAGTAATATTTTATTATTCTTATTAAGGCAATGGAACAGAAATAAATTGCAAATATGAAGTCATTATTTTTTTAAAAAATTGCCCTGCCGAAAATGTAAATATTATAAGCTGTAGGAAATTTTAAGGAAGGTGTATAAGGTACAAAAAATACAATATAAACTTTCTTACCCTTATTAAGCTGTAAAATGTTCAAGCACAACATAAAGTCTCTAGATAAATATGATGCAATATAAAGCTCGTTTTGTTGGAGCACTGCACAATATTTTTTGACTTAAATTTTACGATGGAGAACACTTACGGAAAATTAAACTCTTGTTTCAAGAATTGATTTTAATTTTTTATAAACAAATCAACTCCAAAATGTTTATAGCCATACTGGCGGGATTTTATGAAATCGAAACAAATCAACATAACATAAAAATATAAACTTAAACTAGTTCATCAGCCAAATTTTAGCATTCAGGAAAATTTTACGATTTTTCATGAAAAGAATAAATTTGATCCTCTTTCGTAAGCCATAAAATCGAGCTAAAAAACTTCAGTTTTTTACGTCTATTCAATCCCCTTAACTAGGCTGACTTTTCCAATGCAAAAGAGGAGTCATTCCTATTCTTAGAGTCCTTGATTTTTATGTCGCTGTCCCTTTAGCCCCGGTTTTATGTCCCCAGGAAGACGTAAAACAAGCCTTTACTACGTCTCTAGCCTCTCGTTTTTTTTTCTCATGGATTCTGCGATTCGTTTTTGTTTTTATTTATTCTAACAATGAGATTGTAAACGGCTCAAATAAAAGAGGTAGACATTTTCCAGCAGCTGTGTTGGTGAATGTAACAATGCAGTTCTTCAATTCATTTTGAAATTTCTTGATATTCTATTTTTCGTTCTTTTCTTTTTCTACATAACTGTGAAATAAAAAATGTTTCAGTGCAATCTAAGCAAGGAACTGACGGATGGATACTTCTAATTATAATCAACGCAGCGCATTCTGAAGAATGACAATCAGTATAACCAATAATATGAAATCTAAAAAAGATGATAGCCAGTATAAGCAAATGCAATTTGAAGAATAAAAATCAAGCTAATCAGTGCAATGGAATCTTAATACTATAACTTCAATCAATGTACTATGACTTCAATCAATGTAATGGAATCTAAAGGATGGAGATTAAAACTATATATGCGTTTTGTTATGCAAAAATGTACATTTTTTTTAATTTCTGATTTATTTTTAAAGATGTTTATGATCTAGGAAAAATTCAACCTTATATTGGCGCTGATTTCAATAAAAGCTTCTTAATTTCAAGGAACGAAACTCTTACTGAAAAGACACCGGAATTAGATTATCGTATGAAATATCATTATTTATTTACTTACAATGCCTAGCTTTTGGCGCTGAAGCTATCAGCCGTTTTGCCACCGATACCGCAAGGTTACAGAATTAAAACCAGAAATGGAGAACATTTGTTTAAATGTTCTCAATCCATAGATTGTTCAGAGCTACAAAGAGAATACACTGGGGAATTCCTCAGTCAAATGTAAAACAAGTGAGATTATGGTGTCCTGTAACGACACCATTGTTACTACACGAGGAGAATCTGGGACAATGTACCCTTTATCCAGGAGCTATTGCTAAACTCTTCCCTTAGATTCTACGCAGAAAGTTGAATCATGATTCTTGCTGAATTCCATCAGTCTCTTTGCGGAATGAAAGATCCTGAAAGACAGTCCTCCCATTCTTTGCTAGGAAATCTGCGCTCTTATTTCCCTCTACTTCGCAATAAGCAAGCATTACTGTAACGCTATAAAACTGGCAAGACAATTCACAAGATTTACTCCTTTATAAAATGTTTCGAGTCGCAAGTACTGTTACTGACAATAATCTAAAGGACAGGTCTAGAAGTCGAGAGGATAACCACTTTGGTGAAGGAGACTTTACTGCAGAAAAGCTGTTGCAAGACCGCATGAATTGCTTTACGTTCATCATCAAAACTGGTGGTGGATAATATGGCATACCTCTTCGTAGTATATCCTAATTAAAATTAAATTTGCCACTGCGGTGCCGCTTCTCTCTTCTTCTTCGAATTTATAATTTCATTGCAAACAAGGAAGATCTTGCAGTGGAATGCCGGTGACTATTCATAGGCTAAAGAATCTTTCTTGAAATACATAAAAATTCTAAATTAAAAAAAACCTCTACTATAAGGTTGGATTTTCCTAATTATTAGAGAATAAATATCTAGAGAAGTATTCTGAGTGTTGTAAAAAATTGGAAAGAAAAACGGGCAAAAAGTGTAATGTTCCTTAACTACAAGCTGTGAGAATAATATTAAATTTAATCGCTGTGTTGGCAGTGTATTAAATATCCATCATATTCCTAATAGGTTTGTAGCGAAAAATTTCAACGATTTTTCAAGTTATGTATACCATTTTCCCGAAATGATCCGAGTTTTGTTCGGTTATTACAATTCAAAGATCATCAGTTCTTCATCATTCTAAAATTTCCTTAATAGCAAAAACTACCCCTCGATCACTGCGAAAGGAAAAGGGGGGCTGAGCAAAAGAGTGTTTAATGCTGCATATCGTTCGCAGAGCCCTTTTTAAACGCATTAAATGCACAGCTCATGAAAAATACATTTAGAAAGCGTGTAAGCAACCGGCGTTTTTCTTCACTACAAACACTGGGCGACAGAAATGTTTCGAATATATCTTGCCTGTTCCTTAAAAAGCGGGTAACTCTCTGATGTATAATAAGAAGAGGAAAGCATTATTTTTTTCTTTCCTGCTGTAAATCATTCAGTATTTTTTTTTTTTTTTTTTTTTTTTTTTGCTAGAATTATTATTTCAAAAGTAGCAAATACTGACAGAGTAAATAATTCATTAATTTTTGCTTTTAATGCAGCAAAAATTAGCTAATTTGCAAGAATTATAATGAAGAATTGAGGCTTTCATTATCGTTAAGTCTTGTATAATACGTCATGCAGCTGTACTGAAGAAAATACTTTTAAAGAACGCATTTATTTAAGTTTTTTGGTTTCAGAAACTTAAAAATTAATGCACACATGTACAGAATAAAAGTTACAGTCACCATTACCTCTAAGCAATGATTGATGTGCTGTGGGGTGTGGATTTTATGTAGCCCGTGAGCTAATTTTTTAGTGGTCCATGTCAAGGCTAAACTCGTATTATTATTGACGGCGAATTTCCAAATGCATTCATATTTCCATATTTTAATAATCTTAAAATTACATTCAGGACTTAAGTATCAACATCATCACTGCCTTTGGTTAGCTTGTTCTTTGAGCTCCAGCGATATTCTCATTAATCGCATTGAGTTTCATCCTCTAAAGACAAGAACATATATATGTATTTAAAAATGGTATTTTGAATTCTTTTGTTTATTCTTACCTTTGAATTCTATACCTTTGAACCACCGCAGTGTTGAAATAACCGATAATAACTATACCAGGATCTATTTCAAAATACTTGATATATACAATATAATATGCACCCCTGGTAACTTAAATTGGCTTTCAAGGTTACAGAAGTTCACTACATCTATGTTGCTTTCAAAGTTACAGAAGTTCACTGCATCTATGTTGCTTTCAAGGTTACAGAAGTTCACTCCTTCTATGTTTAATTATACCTTTCGAAAGGAAAACAAAAGAAAGTATTCATATAAAAGTACGATTGTAGACTGGTCTGATTCGGTTGTACATGTTTCCAACTTAAATTCCTTATGAATCCATTTAACTTTTTATTGAAGTTACAAGGTTTATTTTAACTAACATATTATTTTTATCTTAATTCTTTTCTGTAATTTCTGTTTTTTTCCATTACCCTTTATTAGAATGCAAATTATTTTGAGTTAAAATAAGGATCGAATTTGTAGTTTCGAAAGAGTGCTGCGATAAACACTTATTACTGCTATTTATCTTAAGAAAGAAATGCTCCCCAAGCTAGCCTATGAACTGTTTAGTGAGTTTTATATATGTTAGCATGTAAGGTTAGAAACCCTACCGACGGAACCGAGATGGTAACTGAACTATATTTTACTACTTTAAATACTTAAGTTATTGAAAACCCACAAGTATCAATGGATAGTAATTTTTTTTATTTTAAGTTATACTACAAGATGCACTTCTGATAAACATTTTAGTTAATTTTACTTTTGAATTATAACTGACTAATTTGAATTATAACTGACTGACAGAATAATAATTAGACTTTTATTTAGTTCCAAAGATGATAACTAATCAGAACAAGAGAAGTTTAAATAAAGGCCATGATGGAGTTCCATGCCTGTAGCACTTAGTGACTCAAATCAACAATGATCCGAGTTGATTGTGGAGGACGTTGAATTTGTGGTTCAATCATGCCCATACGTACTAGATCAAACGAAGATCGAGTGATCTCGCAGGACAAGGCAGCATATCGACGCTCTATAGAGCATGTTGGATGATAGCAGTGGTAGGAATAAGCGTTATTCTGTTGCAAAAGGTTCTCTGGAATGTTGCTCAAGTACGGCAGTACAATCAATGCAGTTAACACTCTGAAGAACAAATTTGCTAATTCAGAAGTCAAACA